GGAGCAGTCGCTCTTCATGCCTGCGGGGCTCAGGGCCTGCGCCGGCCGGTAGGGCTGACGCCTCCCCAGGCGCTCCGCAGAGACGACCCAGGGGCAGGGCGAGTCCACATAGCCTGGCCTGCGGCCCCTCTCGCCGCTTCCTGGGGAACAGGTGGGAAGACCCGAGTCTTCGGGCCGGACGGGCTCGTCTGCTCCTGAGCCGGCGGCTTCGCCGCGCCCCGCGGCACCGGCAGTGGGCGCAGGCTCCTGGAGCCCCGCGGGCACTCGGGAGTCGTAGTCCTCGGCGTCAGCACCAGCCCCGGCGGCCTGCAGCAACGCGCGGGGTTCGGACTACAACCCCCAGCATGCCCGCCCCAAGACCCAGCCCAGTTCCGGAGAAAGGACCCTGCACTGCGGCATCGGGATCGCGGAGCAGTAGCAGGTCGAAGCTGTCCAGGGGGAAGGTATTTTGACCACCAGAGCCACGCGAGGCTGGGCGGGCGGGACGTGGGCAGTGCAGTCGGAGCTCGTGCACGCCCCTGGTTCTGTGCTTCTGCTAGGTGGTGCTGTAGTCATGGGGGAGACCGGGAAAGGCTCCGCAAGCACCCTTCCAGCTGGCCTCTTTCCGGAGTAGGTCCGCCTTCCCAGGCCGCTCCCCTGATCAGCGCAGGTTGTGCTCTGCACTGCTGAGCAGACTAGTGGCTCCCTGAGCCTTCCAGCCGCAAGAGCCCTGGTTTGACCTTCTGCATTCATGCCCTTAAAGCGCCTGGCATCGCGCTAAGTGCGTGCATGCAGTCTTGGGTAATTCTTCTTCGCCCTGAGTTAAAGACACTGCTACCTTCACTGTACTGGGAAGAAATTGGCGCCTATTTAAATACTTTGCGAAGGATCGCACAGGTGATTGACAGAAACGCAAACTAGGGCTCTTTCCGCTCGGAGACACCTTGAGCAGCTGCTGAGCCTGAGCTGGCCTGAGCTGCTCGGGGATGCCGTCATCACACGCAAGCACCCCGCTTCAAGTCCTTGAGCCTCCCTCGTCTCATAAACACAGACGCCGTAAAAAGCAAAGCCATGCAGGGCTGCCGTGAGTAATGCAGTTTATAGTGAAGTACTTTGATCAGCGGGGCGTTTGATCACTGGAGCTATGATAGCTACACAATTTCACACCGCTCACAAATTACACATAGCATATTCTGTGCTTCGTCCAGGTTTTGCCAAGCCATCATGCTGAGCCCTCTTGGCTTAGCTTCTTTCCAGTTCTCTGCCTTTTGATCCGCCTCCAAAGCATCCCTACAATTGCCCATTCCCTGTTACCACACAGGCTGGGCACACGCTAAGCACTCACTCACATCCAGCTCTCCTTCACTTGCCGGCAGGTGTAGACACACTCATCTCTGGCCTTCAGTCCTCTGCAGAGACCTCATGGAAAGCTAAGGCAGAAAGAGTAAGTGCTCCTTCTCCAAAAGAGAGGATAGAACCTGAAACCACATGAGGAGATAAAACCAGGACCCATACTGCACAAATGCTTGCGGACAACCTACTAGGTGGGGGCGGCACTGTCCTAGGGACCCAGATCCCACAGTGAACAAGAAACAGAATATCTGCCTTCCTGAGCCCTTATTCCAGTGGGAGGAGACAGGCAAAGGTATGCAAGTACACACAGAGGCTGTCAGGTGGTGACCAATGCTAAGGGGAAGTAAGTCAGAGAAAAGAGGGGCCAGCAGATGGCGTCATGGTTACATTGCTGGCTACAGCCCATGTAGTTGACTGAGGTTCAAGTCCCAGGCCTAATGGCTTAAACCCATCCCCCCCCCGGGGTGGGGGTGATTTCTTGCTTTCTGTTTCTCTGTCTTTCCTGCAAGTGCATGCACCCTAGAGCAAAAACTCTCAAAACCAAACAAACAAACAGAAAAGAGACTGGAGTGACAACAGTGTTGGGTTCTGTTTTTTCTTTTTTTTTTTTTTTTTTTAGTTTTTTGACATAGGGTGCATGTGTTTGCCAGCGCGAGAGAGCTCACCAGAGAAAAATAGAGAACAAGCCTCCCCCAGTGGGGCATGGTCCATTTCTCCATCTTATCAGGATTTGGGGACATGCACGCGCACATACTTAGCATGGGGTTTTTTGTTTTTTTGAGAGGTTTTTTTTTTTTGCTATAGGGGCGCGTGGGCTCGCCAGACAGACAGAGAGAGACAGAGAGAAAGAAAGCAAGAAATCACCCCCCAGGGGGGATAGGCATGCCGCAATCCCTTCTCCTCCATTCTCCTCTCAGGATCTTGGGCACGCACGCACATGTGCCAGGCGTGAGTTTTAAGCCACCGGGTCTGGAACTCGAACCGCGGTCTACGTGGGAGTCCAGCGACAGCCATTACGCTAACTGCTGGTCCCCCTACCATGATTTTTAAACTGTCCGGTCCAGGACCTGAATGCAGTTGGCTATGTGGGAGTTCAGTGCCTTAACCACCACACCCCCTGCTGGCCTCTAACTGGGTTTTCTAACAGCAAGTTCAGGGCTGGAGAGAGCAGCAGGAAAACATGACCCTCATGCTCAGGACCAGCCACTGTCAGTGGAACCAACATACTGTTGGAACCAACATACCCTGAGGGTCATCTTGGGAGGAGCTCCCACCTGTCTGCTTCCTCACCAGTTACTGTTCGCTCTCCCACAGTGAGTTCCAGAGGCAGAGCAGAGGCCTGGAGAGCGTGAATCCATCTAAGAGTGAGGTTGCCAGTGTAGCAGGGCCGTCTGCCTCAGATTTAATGCTAGATGATGAGGACCATCAGTAACGGCATTAAGTATCAGTATCAGGCCCAACACACACACACACACACCCACACACCTGTTTTTCTGCCCCAGTAATGCAAAGCAGCAGCAGGACAACAGCAAAATGACCCAAGCAGCCTAGGCCACAGGGCACCACCTGTGAGTGGCCAAGTCCTGCAGAACCCGGTGCTAATTTCCACAGAGTCTTTGCTGTTCCAGATCTTTCCAGAAGATGGCAGCACAGCCTTAAACAGCATTGGAAAGGCCTCTGTGTAGAGGTGAGGCACCCTGAATGAGGTCAAGACATTTAAAGCTGGAGAGGGAATGCTAAAACTCATATAAAAATACCATCGTGTTCCACTCGTTTTGGTTTTAAGACTTTTTTTTTTATGCCATCAGGTACATGCACTCACCAGAGAGAAAGAAACAAAGACAGAGGGGGAAAGTGATTGCTCTCCCCCAGAGGGATGACCACACTGCAATCTCTTCTCCATTCTCCTTTCAGGATTTTGCGTACATGCACAGACTCAAACCACAATCCACCACTGGGAGTCCAGCACCTTCATTAGTCTGGTGGTGCTCCATTTGTTTTTCACCCGAGTTTCTGCAGAGCTGGGCTTCTCTGTGACCTGCATTGCATTCAGCACTGAGGTGCCAGCGCACTGATTCCTCGATCCGTAGTGACAGTGCTGTGTTCTCTGCACACACCTGGATTTCTCGAGCTGAGTCACAGAAATCCTAAGCAAAATCAGAGCATTCTCCCCGAAGGAGGGTGATGGGGATCATGGACACCTGACCAGCCATTCTTCTTTCTGACACTAGCTGGGAAACTGCCCATCCTCCTGTTTTCTCATCCCTGGGGTAGAACAGGGTTCAGATGTACACGGGGTCTCTCCACTCCGGAGGGCAGGGCATGACGTCTGTTGCTGGCTGTCCTAGTGGGTGATATCCTGCCCCGCTGCCCCTGCCCTCCCCAGCTCAGCATTCAGGCCTCCAGCAGCTGAGAGCTCAGAGCACCCCTGGGCCCCAGGGGGTTCCATTGCTCGGCCTACTTGTCAGGGAATGGGTGGGCGTTTTTGTGGGTAAGAGACATTAGAGGAAGAAGAGAGACTGGTCAGCGTCCTAGCTCCCTCGTTGCTAAGCCAAGTGGTCTCTAGGTTGTCACGAGCTTCTCTGTGCCTCAGCTTTCTTGCCTGGCAACACCTAACGCACAGGGTGTGTGGGGTCAGAAGAGAGCATGAGACAGCCCCTTAAAGTCACAGGGTAGTTCCAGCTGCTGGAAGCCAGGGCGCTGCAAGTCTCTGGGGGTCAGCTAGGGAGGAGAGTCTCATTCCACCTGAGGTGCTGTAGTCTTACTTCCCGATCTGGATTTAGCTTTTTTTAAGTGTATTTATTGGGAGAGGGAAA